GGGGGGGGGGGGGGGGGCAAACCACACTTGCAGCTGCACGCACCTTGCCCTCTCCCACCAGCAGCACTTGACCACCCAAACCACGGAACCCGAAATCTGGCACGGCCCATCCTGAGTAGTCCAGCACCTCAAGGGATGACGTCACCTGGCTGCCGGTCACCGCCGTGACCATCTCCGCCACTGGGTCCGCGAAGCGGCATTGGAACCTGCAGAAAGTGAAGCGGGCTCCGTGCTTGTGAAACCGGCCATGAGCCAAGGCAGATTGCGATCCAACACGTCTGGGCCAGGCGAATAACAAGCAAAGACCCAGCCCTTGAATATCTGAGTGCTTCAACTGTGCTTGAGGGAGCAGTTCACGGGAGTTGCATTTGCCAGTCAAAGTGCGTTGTTGTACGCAGCAGAGTACTCACATGAAATTGCAGTCCGCCTCAGAGTACAGGGCGCGCTGCTGGCACCAGTTACTGCAGGGGTTGCCCTGGAGCGTAATGTCCCGGCACTTGTCGGTGAGGTGCTGGAGAATCTGCGGCGTATCGGCCCTCAGGTCCCAAAACTTTACGACACACTCTGGGTAGTCCCGCTTGCTGGTTGAAGAGTGGCTGAGGTTCATCTGGGTGAACCAGACGTCGGGGGCCTTCGCCCGGACCAACTCGCGGATGAGGTGGGGCCCTGGCGGGGTTGCGCCGAGCCAATTGTGCAAGGGCAGGGCCGTGGGGCATTGGTCTACTGCACATTCAAGACGGTAAACATGCATCCAACCCGCTTGCAGCAGCTAGCGCGTCAGAGGGCCATGCTGCCGCAAGCAGACCGGCGCCGCTGTAAGCGCAATCAACAGCGTGCAAGCAGCTGCCCCGGGTGCGCTTGTGCCTGGCTCCGCTGCCTGCCGCCGCATCAATGAGCGCAACCGCCGCTCCACCCCCGGGGGCGGGGCCCGCCACAACCAGGGCGCTGCAAGCGAGCCCCCCGGCATCGCTGTCATTCGATGCAACGGTAACGTCCACACCGGCGCCCAAAATGCAGTGGAGCATTCCCTGCTCATCATCTTCAGATGCATCCCGCTGCAAAAGCTCAACGCGCCCCGGCGGGAGCTGCAACAGCTCGAGGTCGCCACGCCACGGGTCAGGCGCGGCCTCATGCGCATCAGCCGCCAGGGGCGGCGCAGGCGGGCCAGCCAACGCAAGGAGCGGGCAAACCAAACCATGTTTGCAACATGCAGCTTGTTCCTCAACCCAGTTCAGCACTGGTCGTCGTCCCGCTCCAACCACACCAGCAACTTCTGCTGTGGTGAACCCCATGAAGCCCCGGCCCTAGCCAGTTCATGACATCGCTGGTACAATGCACGCGAAGCGCACCTGGGTCTGATGCTCCTTTGCCTGCACAGCAGAGATGGTGGTGACCACACACGACGGCGGTGGGTAGCATGATCAGCTAGTAAACGGGTTTAAATGCACAGCATGCCGGACGAGGAGGGGTGCGGGCTAGCGGTCGATTGAGAACGTCAGCAGCAGCGCGGTTTGGCCCGAGTCACCTTGAGCAACAGCGCGATTACTCAAACACCGCTGACTGCCCGGAGAAAGATTAGGACAAGAGCAATGTGCAAGTCCGAACCGCGCATGCAACATTTCCAGCGCTACATGAACGCAAGCCTCCAGTGCCACACCTGGACTGCAGTGCTAGGTCAAGCCCCTCACCTGCCCTGGCCTTGATGTCTGAAGCATGAGCTGCGTTGGTGACACCGTAGTCCCTCAAGATTGCCAGCTCACAATTGTTGAGCTGCTCGGTGCGCCGTATGCCCCTATCCCATAACGGCCGAGCATAGTTGCCGTAGTCCTCGTCAAGGCTGGCTAAGTGGTCCTCCAGGCCTTGCACATTAGGGAACCTCATGACCTGTGGCAGTCGTCGGTGCAGCGATTCACAGCGATTGTGAACGCCACTGAAGCGCAAAGACTTACATAATGTGCTCGATTAGGCCGACGCATGTGTGACAATGGGAGTGAGCTGGCGTGGACAGAGCGTTGCGGCGCATCAGAACTCAGCCTGCGCTCTCACCTTGCACCGCCTGAGAACCCCTCAGCTTCTTCCCCAGACAGGCTGCGGCGCAAGACACGGATAGGGTTGGTTGAAAAGTCCAAGACGAGCTGCTCGACGCTTCAAGTGCAAAGCCTGGTGGAAACTTGGAGGTGCATGTGGCAACCCAGCATTTGTCACACCTGGGACCGCGACCTGCCTATAAATACACGCTCAGGACTGCCACCTGAACGTGCTGGGCACTCCAGCTCCGCGTGCGGAGAACATGTAAAGCTGGCCGAGTAGGCTGCGGGCGCTCGCGTCCAACTGCCAAGACCCGCTCTGCAGTAGTTTTAGTCCTCTCAGTGTGTCCACACTGAGAGACTCCCGGTGTGTCCACACTGAGAGACTCCCGGTCTCCGGACCCGGCCCCAGCGGAAGATGTGCAAGCGCCCTCCGGGCTCACTCTTTCCCCGAAAAGAAAAAAAACAAGCACCGACCATCGCAATCGTTCGTCGAGCTCCCAGAACTCGTTTCCCGGCCTGCAGTGCAGTTGTTTGCTCGACTCGAGAAAAGCCAACTCGTCCGGACCGGACCTCCCCACCTCCTTCCCGGCGCTGCATGTTGTTGACGCATATGCTCCAGCGTCTGGCTGAGCTCTTGTCTGCGTGAGACCCTGGGAGTCGACACTGCGCTGCCTCCGGGGTTGGTCTCATGCACCGCAGCCGGCAGTGCGTGCACGTCACCTGTCATCACCATGCGGGCACCTAGTTGGCACCTGTCATCATCAGGCGATCCAGGCATTTGATGCAGCTCGGGACGCTCAAGGTGTGCAGGCGTTCAGCACCACTGCCGTCGCTCACGCGTTGCTGCTGCGGGGGCCTCTCAGGCGGCAGTTGAGGTACTCGGTGCGGCGCGCGCACATTGTCGGCGCACGGGGCCATCCACACCACGCATCAGGTGTTGCAGACTTTCGGTGCATCTTGAGTGGGGCGCCAAGGCTGTGTGGGAAATACGGCTCCACCAACGTCGCGCAAGCGTTGCAAGCGTACCGCGCTTCGGGCGGCTCAGGCGGTTCCGGGGGCGGCCCAGGCACTTGGTCCGGCACGCGCACGCTGTGGGCGCTCGAGGCCACCCACGCCGCGCACGGGGCGTTCTTGGCTTTCGGTGCGGCTTCGGGCGCTGATTATACGGCGTTGCAGACTTTCGGTGCATCTTGAGTGGGGCGCCAAGGCTGTGTGGGAATTTGGCTCCACCAACGTCGCGCAAGCGTTGCAAGCGTACCGCGCTTCGGGCGGCTCAGGCGGTTCCGGGGGCGGCCCAGGCACCTGGTCCGGGGCGCGAACGCTGTGGGCGCTCGAGGCCACCCACGCCGCGCACGGGGCGTTCTTGGCTTTCGGTGCGGCTTCGGGCGCTGATTGTACGGAGGCAGTCATTGCCACTAAAGTCGCTCAGGCGTTGCAAGCCGCGGCGCGGTGCGGGCGGCACGTGTGTTTCAGGTACTCGGTGCGGCGCGCGCACGTTGTAGGTGCTCAGGGCCACCCACGCCGTCCATCAGGCGTTGCAGGCTTTCGGTGCAGCTTTGGGCGCTGATTCCGCGCAGGCGATCATTACCACTAAAAGTCGCTCCGGCATTGCAACCGTCTGCGGGCGGCAGGAGCGTGTCAGGTACGCGGTGCGGCGTGCGCGCGCTGTAGGCGCTTGGGGCCACCGGTGCTGTGCAGCTTGGGGCGCCAAGGCTGTGCAGGGATTCAATGCTCAGCAGAGGCTCTTAAAGCTGCTCGGGTCTTGCAAGCGTTTGGCACGTTTGGGATTCGGGCGGGGCGCTTTGGAGCAGTGTGTGGGGATCCCGCCCGCTCACATCGAGGCATGCACACCAGCACATGGGCTTTGGGGGGCGCGGGGACTAACAATGTGCGGAGGGCAAAATACAACGGGACCAGCCGCCTGACGTCATGAGAGGCCCACATCCACTTGCACGCCTGCGCTGGGCCAGCAACAGCGAGCGGGCCCAGAAGAGGAAGGTCCTGTTGTACAATTGCAGAGAAATAGGTGGTATTGCTGCTCGTATGTGTTGGTCCTGGCTGAGCCCCGAGCATAACATCAACAAAACCGTGCGCATGTACAAGACTGACCACCATGTGGCCTCCACCTCGTTCAAGGAGACTCATCAGGGCAACGCGTGCCGCTCATCAGTGCTCACTTTGTTGCCAGTTGAGACTTTGGCCAGTCAACCAAGATCACAGCATGACTCATGGCCTGGGGGCCTATGGGCGACCCAACCAGGCGCCGCGCCGCACTTACATTAATTCAGGGAGGGGCCTGCCGCCCATCCCGCCGCGCCCAATGGGTTTGGTAATTTTCAACTTGTTTCCCAGGGCCATGAGAGGAAGGGGCGGGCGTGTTCGGGGTCCCGCATAACTCCGCAAGGCCTCGCACCTACGTCAGCACAAAGCCCGGCCTCCGCGGCACTCATTGATATAATTTACATATTTCACAATTTGTTACAAAGGCCGCGGCTCCCGGAAGGCGTGTTCGGGGAACCGCACCACTCCAGGCCGCAGGTCAGCAAGCTCGCACCCCAGACTGCTTGCGGCGCCTCG